TCCAGACAGCAGTTCGAACTCCTCGAAGCAGCGGTTCTGGCAAGGATGGTTCTGGTCGCAGCTGCACGTGTGGAGGATATGGTTTGTGGATTATATAGATGCATAAATACATTCAACGGACGTCTACAAATACAGCATTATAAAGAGATGAAGAATCAAACTTAACCACATCATAGAAGGTTTCAGATATTCCAAATCATAACTTGAACAGAAGAAACGAGAAGCAATAGCAATTGCAGTCATTGTAAAAATGAGAAATTAATAAATAAACTAAATGTAAAGAACACACGTCAACGCAAAGTAAATGCTAAGGCACTCAGTCCGTGCACCTCACCTGTGCACTTCCACAGGGGGAAGCTCATACAGCATGAGCTCGCCACCGTCGGTGGTGACGAAGGCGCCGCACCTGCACGGAGCCACCTGCTGCGCCGTCGCCCTGAGCGAGAGGAGGAAGGGTCTGGTCAGAGGGAAGAGGCCCAACAGGAGGAAGTGGAGCGAAAACAGAGGCTATTTAATCACCAGTTACAAGTTTAATCAACAAATGAATGAATAAAATAATGATAATGGAAATAGAAAAAGTAAAGGCAAGGTCAAATGGAATTGTAATTATTATACTTTCTGATATATTCAGTGTTTACTTTTTTTTAGGGGGTGGTGTATTGCTTTCTTATTCTATACCTCTACTAATATGAAGATAGTGATTTTCTCTGAAAGACTTTACAACTAACACCCAGAAAAGTCAGGTTCGAAATATCATTAACCAATGTACTGTAGAGGAGAAGACATAGAAGAAGAATAACCGTTTACTTACGCAGCGAAGAGGAGAGCGAGCAAAACGAAACGAAGCATCGCGGAATCTGAAGAAAAAATATATATACATATATACTTTTATAACTGTAAGATAACCACCATACAGTTAAAAGGACGTATAAAGAGAATAAACAGACAATTATCCTGATAATGCAGTGCATATTAAATCCTCTAAAAGTAAAGGGAAAGGCGTAGACAGAGACAGAAACGCACGTACTGGTTCGTGGTGTTATGGTGTATGGCGACGGTGCAGGCGCTTTTATCCTTCTCGGCGTGGGAAAGAGCGTCCCCCGTGGGACTGTGTGTGTTACGAAACCGAACCGGGTTTCCTGAACCACTCCAGATGCGAGTGTGTGATTTGGAAACTAAAATTTGATAAGCTTTATAAACGACGCGTAAGCCTACTTGATCTGCACATACGGTATGGGCAAACACACGCATACACAGACGCGTGCGCGCACACATATACATTTATGTATAGACTAATATATATGCATATATATAAATACACATATATAAATGTGCGTGTGTTTATATAGAAACATATATGTATACACAATACACACAGACAAATATATGTCCAGTTGGTTTATCATAGCTTATTCTGGGTCACATACCTGCAGTGGCAGAGGTTCAGTCAAGTCCTTCCACATTTACAAAATGGAGGAATGTGTAGGTGTGTGAAGTTCGCAGCCAAGTCTATACTCATACATATTCCTTGATCTTATAAATGTGGAAGGACTTGACTGAACCTGCATTACCCTGGGATGTATTATCCCGGTCCGCTCTACTCTGCGTTTCATTATCCCGGGCTGCATTGCTCCGGGCCAGACTACGCCAGGCTGGATCATAGTGGCTGCAAGATCTCGGCTGCCTGTCATATTTGTTTTACAACAGTGATTTGTTTCGTTTACATGTTATATATATTGTAATATATTGATAATATCCATTGAAAATATATTGTTTGAGTTTACTACATACCCGTATTGTAGAGAGTGGGAGGAATCCAACGATACCGAAATCGTCGAATGTAAGATTGATAATATACACTGAAAATATAGTGATTGAGTTTACTATCTCACTTGAGGCAATTTATTCCCCTGAAGATAAAATAAAAGAATAAAGCGGTTAGCTATGATCATATCTGACACATTAAATGAGACCCATTTACTGAATGTGAAATATGAGAATTATCAAATGGGAGGAAACCTTGGATATATGTGTGTGTGTGTGTGTGTGTGTGTGTGACGTTTATTGCCCTCCAGAGTTTATAAACTGCTTTCTCCGTTTATGAGTAAAGGAGGGCATGTAACACCCGTGACTTCGCAAGCAAGGAAAGGCAAATCATTGAGCTAAGAAGAAGTCTTGACTTTTATCCGTGTTTTCAAGTTTTGTATAAGATAGATCTAACATGGCTCAGATTTTGTTTCTGAAAACCATGATATCTGACCAAGAAGTTTCCGTCAAAAATAAATATGAGCAAGAAGATCCAAGATATTTCGAGAAATCTTGAAATATCTTGCCGTCAAAAATGCGCGTCTCTCTCTACTCTTCTCTCTCTACACACACACACACACACACACACACACACACACACACACACACACACACACACATATATATATATATATATATATATATATATATATATATATTATATATATATATATATATATATATATATATATATATATATATATATATATATATATATATATATAATACATACATATATACACATATGTGTGTGTGTGTGTGTGCAGGTTTACATATACATAAATACAAATATTATACATATGCATATTGTACAAACACACACACAATATATATTATACATATATACATATATACATATATGTATATATATCCATATATACTTGTATATATACTTATGAATATACGTACACACAAACATGTATATATATATATATATATATATATATATATATATATATATATATATATATATATTATATATATATATATATATATATATATATATATATATATACTCACACATTTGCATAAACTTATATGTGTGTGTGTGTGTGTGTGTGTGTGTGTGTGTGTGTGTAAACATTTGGGTAGATGGATTGGTGAACCGACAAATGGATAGATAGCTAAAAGACTAGTAGATGATTAATGTTAGATATATGTTCAAAGCCCCAGGAAATCAACGGTTTGATAAAACTATTGATATATTTTCATCTTATTTATTTTCATTTTCATTTTGTAACAGTTGATCAGTAAGTCCGGTCGTTGACGGTACGTGAAGAGTTGCAAGGCCAAGCATCACAAGGTATGCTGTTGTCACGTTTAGCAGGGGACGTACTCGGCGGCGTCGGTGCAGCAGAGGGGCTGCTGCGTCGAGACTCCAGTAAGCTCCCAGGGGCCGTCGCAGAGCTCATAGTAGGCGTACACCTGCAAAAGTCGGAAAGGTCAATTCTGTTCTTCAATAACGAGTTCCTTTTGCACATAACCACCGAAAAATTGAACATCTACAGGATCTACAACTGAGTTTTGATTTAGTAAGAGTTATTCGAGTTTTATAAGAATGAATATGAAGGAAGGAGGCAGGAAATGCTATCCTTAATTCTGAAAGGTTTTTAGTTTTGCAATTAATGGCAACGCTTATGTGAATACATCACTTTTGTACATACACACAACCAGAAATACATACACATATAAGAAAGGGAAATTGTAAAAGAAAGATACAGCGAAGCTTACGTTTTCGTTAGCGACGGCCACCCCCGCCGCCTCGCACAGCACCTGGCCAACAGTCGCGTTGGTGGAAGTGACGAAGTCCAAGTCGCCGCCTCCAGACAGCATTTCGAACTCCTGGACGCAGCGGGACTGGCAAGGATGGCTCTGGTCGCAGCTGTGGAATAGGTGTTGTTGACTTTATATATAGAATATTTAGATTTGTTTATGCAGCATATTTAGAGAAAAAAAGAAGCAAGAAATAATCAAAAGAAGTAATAGTATAGATACATATATAAACGAAAAATATGCACATGCACACGCAAGAAAATGATAGAAGTGCTTCGTTGCCCCACTTCACCTGTGCACTTCCACAGGGGGAAGCTCATACAGCAGGAGGTCTCCAGAGTCGGTGGTGATGAAGGCGCCGCACCTGCACGGGGCCACCTGCTGCGCCGTCGCCCTGAGCACGAGATCAGAGGAAAGCCGTTTAAGAAGAGACAAACGGGATCAGAGTAAATATTGAGGATGTACTGTCACCACTCTAAAGTTGGCAGAACATCTAAACAAAAACTAGAACATGAAAAAAAAAATCAATGAAGGGTAAATTTAAAAGTTCCCAATTCATTATTCTTATTTTTTCTCTCCATTGTGTTTGTCCACACTTATATCAGAATCTCATTTACTTACGCAGCGAAGAGGAAGGCAAACAAAAGGCAACGCAGCATCTTGGTATCTGACAAGAATTAAAGGTAAAAATAAATTATACATTATATCAGAGAACCCAGGCAGGACCACCGACAGGGAGGGGGTAGCCGGGGTAACGACCCCGGGGGCCTTTCGGGGCCCGTAAAAAATTACAGAAGTCGTTTATTTGAGCCCAAGAACAACTAACAGCAAATTTAAAGGGGCATTTATACTAAAACAACGTTACAGCAGTTAATGTTAACAACTCTAAGGAAAATGAGCATTTCCTATTTGAAAAAGGCATTTCCCAACATAATAGGATGTGGCCCTGAGGGTCCGGCCCTGTTCTTTGCCCCGGGGCCCATTTAAAAACTATAAAGCATCCCAGGATCGCATATCACAATTCCTTTAAACTAATGATATAAACGATACTAAGACATAAAAGACGAACTCAAGGTAGGGTTCGTCGGTTGTGCTGTATGGGCCGAAGGAGTTGGCGCTTTATATACTCTCCAATGTGGGAAGATTTCCATACCTGCTCACGTGGGAGCCGTGTTGCTGCTGCGAATCAGATGCGTGTTTTCTCTCTCTCGATATAGGCATACTTGGCTTGTACATGTATACCTACCCTGCTTAAAGAGAATTATATCTATCTATCTATCTATCTATCTATATATATATATATATTTATATATCCATATATATATATTATATATATATATATAAATATATATATAATATACGGCACACACACACACACACACACACTATACACACATATATAATATCATATACTATATATA